GGGTGTCACTAAGAAAATACCGTGAGCTGTTACACTCTGTTTTTCAAGTGGAAAACTGTGGGCCTAACCAAGGCAATTCTGTTCCTTTAATTAGCACCAGAACTTGCTAAAAATGTAAAGTCTGTAGAATATATTCTGACAGTAAGCCAAAAGTATGAATTTATAAACAGGATTATGTTACATTATAAGCCAGCAGAAGATCCTGAGAGAGACACTCGGAACATAGAGTCAGCCCTTGGTAGGATCCAGCAAAAACTGCCTTAGGGACACTTACTCCAGTATTTCTCTCAGGAACACAACTCTGGGTTCAGCCTCTGTGTGGAGGAACCCCAAAGCCATTGGGCTACTCTCCTGTGATGGAAGTCTGCGGCAAATGTCCATCTGCATAGCCGATGTTAATTTTCACAGAGCCCTGGGCAGCATCCTAAAGAGGATTTATTACTTTCTTAATTTGCTCTAGCAGGAGCTGAATTATGCATGAAGATGTGGCTGCGGCTCTAGAGGGGAGAAGGCAGCTCGTGTTAGCAGAAGAGAGGTTGAACAAAGTCATAACAATGCCAACATCTTCTGCCCTGGGGACCCAACTAACACCTTTCTAGACTTAATTCTAAATATCCAGCTTGCCAAACGAAATTCTGCAGTAAGGGGTACTCTGGTCACCTCAGCTTTGCTGTTCTCATAATAAATCTTGGCCTTTTAGAAGTCTTCAGAAACGTAACATTCTCCCAACTCATTTTAGAGAGATTTTCCCCATTTTCTGTCAGTCCTTAGAACAAAGACCCCCCTGGTAATGACTGGAGGTCTGTTTTTCATGGGCCAGTAAATAAGCTGTTGCTGTGGTTTCAAGTCTCACAGCCCAGTTACCCAATAAACAATTTTTCATTCATGTTTTACTGCATTCACATTGCTGCCAATGTAAACTGCTTGAATTTCCCATCAGGCAGCTCAGTGACTACCGTAGCATATGAAGGCAGGGACCCCGGTCACTGGTGCAACCAGAATCCTTTATTACAACCAACAGGCAGCTTATATAGTACTACTGCATTTTCTTTCCCAGCCGACAAGCCCCCGCAACCCCCAGCTGCCAGGCGGGATGAATTCCCCTTAATCCCTCGGGCCACCATTAGGAAGTTCTGACGGGCCTTCCCCTGCCAGCACTACTGCTTCTTCTATTCCTTCTTCTGGTCTCAGCTTCTTCCACAATCCTGTTCACCCACAGACTACCTCTAATAATGAGGTTAAAATAATTATTTGGTTTTCTCTGCTGGAAACACAGGAAAGGGGCAAGTCTATCAAATTAACATCAAAACCAGAAAACATCTCTGCCACATAATGTTGGCTAACAGGACTAGTGTCCTTCTGACTCCTTACACAGGCCATGCATTCTGGGACAGGAACACATCCTTGATGCCTGCCCTCATCCCAACAATCAATGTAATTTGGAATATAATGTAATTTGTAATATAATGTTTCCATATCTGGCCTTATCTGTCCCAAATTTCCAGGTGTGGTATCTGATACTTCCCCAATGGATAAAGTGTACAACCCATGATTTGTTTCTCTCTTCACTCAGTCTAGTAAGGACTGCATTATGTAGGAAGCTGCAAGTTTTGGAGGGTAAGGTTAATGTAAGAGAGGTCGTGCAAAGCTATATGAACTCCATCTTCTCTGTGGACCTAAATAATAATCGTTCTGGATTTGACTTTTAAAATTTCTTACGTCTCAACTACTGCTGTATATCTGCAAAATACAGCAATGATTATTTTCGCTTTTGAAAACAGTCCTACCTATGAGTTTCATTCTTTCTTTGATCAACAAAGCTTTGTTTGGTACACAGAAAGAAAAGCAACTGCTCTGCTCAACATTAAGCAGCATTAACATATAAGAGAGAACTCATTTCACTTAGAGAAAACCATAGACATACCAGAACAAAACCAATTAAAAATATAAAATTTCACTCCTAAAATTGTTTTTTAATGAAGATTAATTTTGGTAAAGGTAAGAAAAACTGAAATGCTATCTTTTCACATCTCTTTTGGAGATACACATAATAGCGCAGAGTCTTTTCTGATGATTTCCACCATACCAAAATCAGAAAGTAAGACTTGCAAGAAGTCCAGGATGACAAGAAGAAAAGAAAAAGACTTGGATGCTAAAATCTTCTGACTTCTTCTCTGTCTTTGGATGAGGATCATATTTCAGTTATTACTTACTCCTAATGTCCAAAAGGTGAGCTCTATCCATGAATGCCTAATAGTGTCAGCTTTCCAAAAAAACCCCCCATCATTCACCCAGCACTGTCTCCACAATATAAAATCTGTGCTAATGCCTAACAGGGAAGAGAGTGCATTTTCTTGGGTTTCTCAGCTTGACTTTGGGACTACCTAGAGCAGCCTCTTTCAAAGCCTGTTGATATCCATGCCAGACAGGAGCAGGCAATAGGAGTCCCAGGACTCGCACACCTCATTACCCTTTTCATATCACTTTCGTCAAAGGCACCAGTCTTCTCATCCCTGCCTGTGCTATTCCAAGAAGAGATGTGCAGCTAGAGGTGCTGTAAATAAAAACCCCTATCTTGGGGTACAAGAAAACACAAGAAGTAATTTCTTTCATATGGTTTTTCTAGTAGAATGATAATAATAAAAAAGCATAATTAGCTTGGCGATACCTTGATGATTTAACTGTACAATGTTCATAAACCAGTCAATATGTTAGTCCCAGCAATGAAAAACAGGAATGAGTTTGGACTGGGGTTTATCATATGTGCGAAGCGAATGCTTGACGCTGTCAAGAAACAAGTATAATTGTTAAAGGTAATATTTATTCTGGGCAATAAAACTGGCACATATATCTTACAAATACATATGTAAATTAGGTGGATTTTGGATAGAAGATAAGGTTTAATTAAAGAAAGGGTATTTTCACAAGATTAAGTCTTTCTTATCTAACACTTATTTTATTCCTGTCAAGCCAGAGAGATTGTATGGCATTTGCTGGAGTTTTCATATGTAAAAGCGTCTTCTTGGATATTATTTTCTGAAAGACATGAACTTAATTAGAGGTGTTCAGCGGAGCTCCCTGAGCTCACTGTCTGTCCCGGCTGATCAGCTGTGGCAGTTTTAGGATACCCATCTTCTCTCCTGGGGCTGGACTGACAAGGCACGGCTGCTTGGCTTTGTCTCTGAAATCTTCTGACCTGTAAGCATTGCTCCTGCTGCCTTTCCCTGTCTTTCTCTGAGACTTTCAGATTAATCAAGGATGAGGCCTCTGCTGCATGTATGCAGATGGGCCCAGGGAGATTTGAATTAAAGGTAGTTAAAACCAATTCCACTCAAATGAACAATGGGAAGTATGACTGCACGTATCAGAGTATGCCAATCTGTGGCATTCCTCCACCTCCCTGTTTCCCCCCCCAAATAACTACGAAGAATTAAACTATGATTTGAGGAAGTCATCCGTTTATCTGTCGAGGTCTGGAGAGAACATTGTCACTTGAGGAGAGGCTTGGCTTAGCTCCCCTCCCCAACAAAAATGAAGAATTAAACTATGATTTGAGGAAGTAATCCTTTTATCTGTTGAGGTCTGGAGAGAACACTGTCACTTGAGGAGGAGCTTGGCTTAGCTCCCCTCCCCAACAAAAACCCATTCAAAAAGATATAGCAGCAACCAGTCACCCAATATTCATTTGTACTTAAACCCAAAAAGAGATATGAACACCTTTTCTTGCCTTTACTAATGTTTAGAAACCTCCCAAGATGAAAGCAGATAGAGAAATAATTGGAATTTCTATGAAGGCAGTGCTCACAAATATTTTATAGAATCATAGAATGAAGTAGGTTGGAATGGACCTTAAAGACCATCTAGTTCCAACCCCCCTGCCATGGGCAGGGACACCTCCCACTAGACCAGGTTGCTCAAAGCCCCATCCAGCCTGGTCTTGAACACCTCCAGGGATGGGGCATCCACAACTTCCCTGGGCAACCTGTTCCAGTCCCTCACCACCCTCACAGGAAAGAATTTCTTCCTGATATCCAGTCTATTTATACCAGAATTAATGGAACAAACATTTCACTGATAGGTTGATATTTTGTACAATATTTTTACAGTGTATCTTCTTTTCTATGTATGATTTTTTGAGGATTATTTCTAACATCTCATTTGATTTTGCCTCTAGTCATGCACACCTGTAAGGACAACAGGTATTATGATCACCTCTGAAAGCAAGGTTAAAGAGAATAATTTATACCAGAATTAATGGAACAAACATTTCACTGATAATTTTGTCCAATATTTTTACAGTGTATCTTCTTATATATGATTTTTTGAGGATTATTTCTAACCTCTCATTTGATTTTGCCTCTAGTCATGCACACCTGTAAGGACAACAGGTATTATGATCACCTCTGAAAGCAAGGTTAAAGAGAATAAAAGTACTGAGAGACTGCATGCTTGCTACACAGAGCTCTTTAGGCAAGACATTGTGCTGGTACCTACTGGGCCAGAAATTGGTACATCCATCGCAGCTGCTTGGCTTCCCTCCTGCAGGACTCCCAACCTAAGGAAACAGGGAAAGGCAGTATTGTGGGAATTTAATGGTTGTGGACATCATTTCTGTCAGGGGGAGAGCTGCAGTTTGGGGTTTCTAGGGCTCTTCACAACCATCCAGACTAGTCAAGGCTTTCACTCAGCTACCTAGAAGACAACCACCTCCTGCCTCGGCCACTGCTCCCACTGTGGAGAGCTTCACCTCATGGCGGCCACAGGGGGAGGTGAGGAGATGCCTGCTGGGGCAAGGCCAGCGGGCTGCTCCCGGGGCTGAGGAGATGGCCTCCAGGGCTGAGAAGATGGCCTCCAGGGTCAAGGGGGCGCCCCCCAGGGCAGCCAAACGCCAGCCCTGGGCCGTCCCTCCCCGCCTCCCTCAGCCCCGCGGCCGTTGCCGGGCACCCAGGGAACGCGGCGGGAGGCAGCCGGAGGGGCGGGAGCTGCCCTTCGGCCGCCGCGGGTGCCTCACCTGGGCCCGGCGGCCGCCATTACCGCCCGGCCCTCCCCAGGGCCGCCGGAGGCGGGGAGCGGAGAGTCGCCCGGAGGGGAGGTAGAGACCGGCGGGATTCGCCTGGGCCCCCGGGCCCGGCTGTTCCGTGAGCCCGGGGGTCGGTGCGGGATGGGGAAGGGGGAGGTGTGTGTGCTTAGAACTCAAGCATTTCAGTGATTTTTGTCCCACTCTATTCATTTTTGGCCCCCTGTACTCGGCACTGGTGAGGCTGCACCTCGAGTGCTGTGTTTAGTTTTGGGCCTCTTACCACAAAAAAGACATTGAGGTGCTGGAGCAGGTCAACGAAGAAGGGCAACAGAGCTGGTGAGGGATCTGGAGAACAAGTTTTATGAGGAGCAGCTGAGGGAGCTGGGGTTGTTCAGCCTGGAGAAAAGGAGGCTGAGAGGAGACCTTATCATGCTCTACAATTACCTGAAAGGAGGGTGTAGTGAGGTGGGGGTCGGTCTCTTTTCCCAAATAACAAGTGATAGGACAAGAGGAAAAAGCATCAAGTTACACCAGGGGAGGTTTAGACTGGATATTAGGAAAAATTTCTTCACCGAAAGGGTCATCAAGCATTGGAACAGGCTGCCCAGGGAAGGGGTTGAGTCACCATCCCTGGAGGTATTTAACATAATGTGGTACTGAAGGACATGGTTTAGTGATGTTTTTGGCAGTGTTAAGTTGATGCTTGGACTCAATGATCTGAAAGGTCCCTTCCAACCTAGATGATTCTATGATTCTATAGTTTACTAAATAAGTAAGTTTACTGTCTAACTTCATGTTGCTTACAAAAAGGCCATATAATATATATATTTTTTAAATACAGTTTTGTTTCAGGAAAATTATTAAACTTATATTGATTAATTGATGAATTAGTATTAATACTTGATCTCTTGCATTTCTGCTGGCCTTTGTGAAGTGTGTGTGAAGGATATGGGCAGAATTCAGGTAGAATGATTGAATGGCATTCCTAAGATCTAACAGAACTGTACTGAGTAAGATTGGAAACTTGAAATCAGGCCTGTGTACTGTGGGAGAATAACTATAGTGGCAGCCCAGCTTCAGATAGTTTTTAGCATAAACTTTAAGGATCAGATTCTCCATTCTCCAGAGCCCTTCAAAATTAATCTTTTCAAAATGATGCTAGTAGTGTGCATGTTCTTCATTTGTGAATAATATATACTGATTTTATTTAAAGTGTAAATTACTACTTATCATGAAAAACACTCTGCAAATCCTTGAAAATGAATTAAAATACTTTCTTCCTCCTTATCCTCACAGATTGAAGATCTGAAGAAGATAAACCATGAGCTAAGGCAACATGTCATTCAACTGCTTGGTAAGAAGCAAGTGGTTGAAAGTCAAGTGGATAGGTTCACCTGTAAAAATTGTCATCTGTGTAAAGAACTTGCTGCAATTGGCAAACTATCTGAGGAGCTGGAAAAAAACTTGCTGTTGAATACTGCTGATAAGGAGCTTGAGGAAGCAAAGGTATCTACTTATTAGAATTAATATTGTGCAGTGATATTTTACTATTGTTTGCTAGTATTATGGGGAACTCTTTTGGGGGTGTTATGGTTTGAGAAAACCCATAACAGTTTAGACAATTATTTTGTTACTCAATGACCCCTCCCCACCTGGAAAGAGGAATCGGGGAACACAAAGAAACACAAGGGTTGAAATACAAATAGATTTCATAGAATAAGGTTAAATGATTAACAATAATACTAAAGAACCCGTATTAATCCTGATACTGATATAAGATGTACAAGAATTATATTCAGCCAATTCTATCAGTAGGAAGCTGTGCACTCCCAGCAGTGGACAGCAAGTGTGGGACATTGGCAGTGCAATGACTTCAGGAGGAAGGGAAGGCCTGAGGGGTCTGGCACTGGGGCAAGGAGTTGTCTGGACCCACCGCCATCAAGGGAGAGAGAGCTACGCAGCAAACTTTTCTAATTTATATGGAATGTGATGTTCATTGTATGAAATAATCCTGTTGGCCAGCCTGGGTCAAATGCCCAGGCCTTGCTCCTCCTCGTCCCTGCACCTGACAAGGCTCAAAAACACTAAGACCTTGAATCCCACAGAGCCTGGCTGGCTTTTAAGAAAATATTTTCATTAATTCAGACACTACAGTCTTCTAAAAGTGCAGTTTTCCCTAGCATTAAAAGAAAAGTTAGTCCTGTGTCTTTCAACCCAGGACGGGGGGTGGGGTGGGGGTTGGACCTTTAGGGATAAATTTCTAGCTTTCATCTCTGCTTTGAAGTATATTTGCTGGATGAAGGAGTAGGTTCTGGCCACTGTGGTATTTTTCAAGTGTGGAATGTTTCAAGGATTAAAATCATGCTTACAGTTGGAAAGAATGTAATTTCAGTTCAAATTGCTTCTGATTTGACAGAATAATGGAAAATTACATTCTATGCACATGCAGTTACATGGTTTAGTAGTTTCTTTGTTTGCCATTAATATAACTACATAATTTTTAGGCCCGAGATATAGTCAAACTGTCCCTATTTTCAAAAGTTTCTTGGTAAGACAGTTCTGGGAAAAGGTATCTACATGCACTGGCAGCCCAGAAAGCTAACAGCATCCTGGGCTGCATCAAAAGCAGCGTGGTTGAGGGAGATGATTCTACCTCTCTACTCCTCTCTGGTGAGATGCCACCTGGAGTACTGTGTCCAGCTCTGGCAGCAGAGGAAGGACATGAACCTGTTGGAATGAGTCCAGCGGAGGGCCACGAAGATGATCAGAGGGCTGGAGCACCTCTCCTATGAAGACAGGCTGAGAGAGTTGGGGTTGTTCAGTCTGGAGAAGAGAAGGCTCCAGGGAGACCTTATAGCGGCTTTTCAGTACTGAAGGGGCCCTGCAGGAGAGATGGGGAGCGACTCTTTATGAGGGAGTGGAGCCATAGGACGAGGGGTAATGGTTTTAAATTGGCAGAGGGGAGACTGAGATTAGATATTAGGAAGAAATTCTTTGAGGGTGGTGAGGCACTGGAACAGGTTGCCCAGAGAAGTTGTGGATGCCCCATCCCTGGAGGTGTTCAAGACCAGGCTGGATGGGGTTTTGAGCAACCTGCTCTAGTGGGAGGTGTCCCTGCCCATGGCAGGGGGTTGGAACTAGATGATCTTTAAGATCCCTGCCAACTCCAACCATTCCGTGATTCTATGATCTCATGCTTCCTTTTTCATTGACTCAGCTGAGAGGAACTCAACTGTTACTGTTTTTCCTAATCCTGGACTGCATCTGAAGTAAAGCTTTTAACTGAATCCCTTCTAGATAGAGTTTATTGTTACTAAATAGCATGTTTTTCAGTCTAGTCAAACTAGAAAACATGTACAAAATGCTCTTTTGGACTAGAACGGTTGACCTAAAATGCTGGATTTGCACCAATGATTATGAAAAATTAATGCATCTCTTGCTGTCAATGTTTTATGGTAGATTCAAATTTGACACTGGTGGAACAAGATAAAGAAGCTGCAACGCACAGTGAAAACACTAAAATCCGTGAGTTAAACATGTATCCTTAATATATATGTAGCTATGAAATCAAGTAATTTCCACATGGAATTAATACTTGTATGTGAATTTCACTTGCTTTGTTTTCACTGATAAGAGACAAGTTATAGAATGGATAAACATGCCTGTTTTAATTTGTAGCTCTCTGTCTTTAGATGGATGGGAATCTGTTTCTGTTTTGCAACTAGCCTGTAATGATTTTGCTTTTGAGAATCTTAATGTGTTTTTTTTTTTTTTACAATATTGCACATAACTGTTTTGTATACCATGTGAATCACTTGCAAAACAGAAAGAAGTAACATTTTTTTCTTTGGAATTTTTATATTAATTTTCTATCTTCCTTAAGATGTTATGATACTGTTGGAATATTTTGGAATGTTGTAATTGTAGAAATATTTGCCAGTGGTAAATCTAACTTAAATCAACATTTTAATTTATTAAGTGGACTCATTCACTTGCTTCCAGTGTAAATTGATAGGGACTTTTTTAATGTGTTTAAGATAATGATTTCTTACTGTAATTTAAAGATTTGTCTCAAATTTCCAGGAGGGGAGATGTGTTGGTGTTTTTTTTTTTCCAGTATAAAATATTTGAGTTTATGCCACAAGCCTGGGAAGAACCCCTTCTGGAAAAAAAACAAGCCGCTCTGACCATGTAGAGTTTACTGCTCATTTACTCTGGAAAGATTTTAATCCTTCAGCCAGAAAGTTTGGGATTTGAGAGTAAGATTCACTGATAGATATAGGTGATTAATTTATAACTTTTCAGGGATTCAAAGACCTACTTCTGCATGTGTCTTAACAAAAATAATAAATGTGCAGAATTTAATATTCCCTAGGTGCTTAAACTTTCATGAGTCCAGGTACTTCCAACAGATAGATTGTAACGGAGAGGGATTTGGTGTGCAGTTTTGAACTTTGTAATTACAGTTCATCTCCAAAATCTGTTTTTTAGGCCCCTACATGACTTTCTGGATTTCAGCTATACTCATTTGCACATTACTTTATTTTAATTTCAAAAGTTCACCTTTCATGGCTCTTAAGCATAGTGGCCTAATTTCTTTCATATTTAAAAATTCATTAGATATTCCGAGACACAGCTACTTAATTTTCCTTCTTAGTTTTGAACAGATGTATTCCAAGTTAATTAACATTTAGCTTTTATGTCCTTTTCTGTCCTGTTAGATCCTTTTTAGATGGACATTCAGACATATAATAAATAAATATAATAAATAAATAAATAAAACAAAAATGAGAAAATACAGACATTCAGAAGTTACTTTGAAGTATGAAATGGATTTTAATTTTAATTAGATACCTGCTTCATCTTCATTTTGAAGAGTATGTTTATCTGTTTTACACTGAAGTATTAATCATTACAAAAGTTCTATTTCAGTGAATGAATTCTATCGTTTTTGTGCATGCAGGTTATTTTACAAACAAAAGCTGAAATAAAGCAAGGGAAGTCACCTTCTAGGCTTGATACCTCTATTAAGACATTGGAAGAGGACTGAGAATACTATAAAAGTGAGGCTGAGAATTTGCTGAAGGTATTTAGAAACACATTTTCAAGTCCTAAGTGAACCTCTACTTGTGGCAGCATGTCCAAAAAAATTTCATCCACCCAGGTGAGCTTGGAAAACACTTTGGAAAGGAGAATACGTTTTTAAAAATACTGGTTTATCCTATGCTGAATTACCAAAGCCATAATTACCAGGAAGAAAAACTAATTGATTATAAACAGAGGGATGCGTAAGGTGGGAATGGGAAATTAACGTGAGCTTAACTGCTGCTTTGCACTGCATGCATGTATATCACTTTAAATTTAAGTAATTTAAGTAATAAGTAATTATTAACATGATTGTCAGTACTATTTATGAGAGACATTTACTACTCAAATCTGTATTTTAGGAAATGGTATGTATAGCTGGTCTCTGATACTAAGAAATACATATATCTACAGTCTTGACTGTCCAGATATTACTAGGTTGAAGACTTATTAAATCTTTTATAGAAATTTCCAAACCATATGTAATAAGAAAGTATATGAAGTTCTGTTTCTCTACTTTAACCTTGTATCACCTTATTCTTTAAGGGAGTGAGTTCTGACCCAGAAGTTTTGAAAGTATTGAGAGAACGTGAAGAACTTAAGTCAACGCTGAAAAAACTTGAGCGACGTGTGGCAGAAATTCAGGGTAACTTCAAAGTTTTAACAGCTGAGAGAGACAAATTTGTCATTCTTTATGAACGGGTAATTTTATTTCTATTTATATGATTAATTAAAATAACTTCAGGTGATGTGCAAGAAAAAAATCCTGGTTTTGTGTAAAAAAAGAAAAACGTGCAAAGCATTTGTTTAAAAAAGTAGAAAAAAAAGTTATGGAAATTCTATCATTTGAATCTGCCAGTTAAATACAAGTTTGTAAGTGCTGTCCTGAATTAAGAATGCTTTCCTGAATCAAAGGATACATGCCCAAATCTTTACTTCATCTTTGATATTGCAGAGTTTCTAGGATGCTTTGCCTTACCGGCCATACGCCACAGTAATATATTACATTATTTATTCCATATTTCTATTATGCTGCTTTTGTTTTTTAAAACAGGCACAGGAAGAGATTTCCCGACTTCGTCAGGAAGTTATCAAATGCCCCAGGAATCGTAAAAGTATTGTGAGAGCTCAAGCTGTGTTAAGACGTGTGGAGATAGAAAGGGAGACAGCACTGTCAGATTTCCTAAGGATGACTACAGAACGTGATAGCCTCAGGGAGCAGTTAAAGGTTTGATTCCACACACCCTCCCAGGTTATTTTAACACGAAAACTACTTAGTAGAGTAAATTAAAAGTTGCTAAAAATTTCTGTTCTAATTCTAAGACTTAATTGCATTACATGTACGTGGTGAGTTCAGACTTGTTCTATATGTGGTTTTGCCATTGTTGTTTGATACAGATTTCCCAAGAGACTGCGTTTAATGAAAAGGCTCATTTGGAACAGAGAATTGAAGAGCTACAAACTACTATTCAAAATGTAAGGGGAAATAAGTATTTATGGAATTGTAAATGTAATACAGGTCATGTTCATGTTTAATCCTTCAGGACTAACCTGACTGGTTGCTGTCAGGAAACAACAGGCTGAGAGTAGTAGATGTTATTTACCAAGACTGTAGCAGGGACTTTGACACTGTCACCCACAGTGTGCAGGTTTGGATGTTATGGGCTGGATGAGTGGGTAGCTGGATGGGGGAAAATTTGATTGGATGGTCAGTCTTGTCAGGTAGCAGTTAATACTGCTCGTCCTGGAGAGTGTTAACATGGAGCACCACAGGTGTTTGTTCGAGGCTTGTCCTGTTTAACGTCTTTATCAGTGCCCTGACGGAGGTCACAGAACATATATATGCTCATAAAGTTTGCAGATGACATCAAATTAGGGAAAACTGTTGATCTACTCAAGAGCACAGCTGTCATCCACAGGGACCAAGACAGGTAGGAAGAATGGACAACAGAAACTTTATAAAGGCCAACAGGGATGAATGCCAAGTTCTAAATTTGGAAAGAAGAGCCACTGGCACCAATGCAAGTTGTGGACCAATGGGTTTGGGAGCAGCTCTTCTGAAAAGGCCCTGTAGACCCTGGTGTACAGCAAGCTGTACATAAGCCAACAGTGTGCCACAGTGGCAAAAGCAGCTGAGAATGGACTAGTGCTGTGTGAACAGGACACAGCCAGTAGCTTAAGGGAAGTGGTTGTCCTCCTTTACTGAACATCTGGAATCTGCATCCAGTTTTGCCACCGTGGTACAAGAAAGACATTGCCAAACTGGAGTGAGTTTAATGGAGGGCTCCCATGATACCTGGGGCTGGAACACTTCTTTCTTCTATGAGAGGAGGCTGGTGGAACTGGGTTTGTTCCACCTGGAGTAGAGGTGGCTTAAGAGGGATCTAAGTCCTACCTGCCAGTACTCATCAAGAAGTCAGAAACAGGCTTTTCACAGCAGTGCATGGTGGAAGGATGAGCAGCAATGGGCATCAGTTGAAACAAGGGTTCAGGCTGAATATAAAGAAATCCTTATTTACTCTCCAACCTGGGAGATTTTTCAAGGCTGGACTGGACAAAGCCTTGAGCAACCTGACTTCAGAGCTGGGCCTGCTTTTAGCAGGAATTTAGACTTGAGACCTGCTGGAGTCCCTTCCAATATGAATTACCTTATTAAGACCTCATGTTCCAAAACCAAATGTAATCATTCTGTTCTGGCAAGTCCTATTTAATACAGCTTAAGTTATGTGTGCGTGCAATTGTTTGCTACTGTGGTGCTAAACCAGAAAATTAAAACATTAACAAAATGAATATAAATCTTAAATCAATTTACAGTTTCAGTAGAACTTGATTTTTAAATATATTTACACGGATTTCTGTAGTGTATCTTTCTTCTAGACCTTATGGCTATAAATTCTGGTTCATTTTCTTCTTCAGCCTTTTAAATCCTACCAAGCTTATAAGTATAGTTCCAAGGATTATAATAATAAACTGAGGGCATCTGTGATGAAGAAAACACTGTAGGCTTAAGTAGCTCTGAGTACTCCAAGTAGTAAATTAGCTTTAATCACATGCTTGACATATGATGTGTAGTGAATATTGGGAATAGTCCTGTTGTGGGTAGATCATCTTATTTCAGTTCATTTGATACCGTTTAAGGGTAATACATGAATATGAATTTTATGGCACTAGTATTGAAAAAGTTACTGTATACCAGAGGCTTGCTGACTTGATCTTTAGAGGCCTGATCTTTGATTATGGTTACACAGAAATTAGTTCTGAAAGAATCAGTAAATGAGGAGAGGGATGAGGTGAGAAATTTTTACCTTAAAAGAGCTGTTTCAAATAATTTAGAAAGGCCAGTTCTTTGAATGTTAAGTGTAAGCATTTGTAATAAAGAAACACAACTTTCTTTAAATTGGAGATTTCAAACTAGCTTTGCTGGAGTCTACGCAAGAGGTTTTGGACCTGTTCTTTGTTCTAGGTACAGACCTAAAGGCCCCTCACGGTTGTAACTTGGTCATACAGTGCTTTATGCAAGTGTTTTACAGTGATTTCTCTACCCAGTTATCGGCATAGCTATATAACTTTGTAGAGGCCTAAAGCCATCATTGGTAGTGTTGTGTCCTGAACTGGGATTTCTCCCTTCATACACTCGTAATAATCACAGAATAACAGAATCACAGAATCTTCTAGGTTGGAAGGGACCTTAAAGATCATCTTGTCCAACCGTCAACCTAACTGACAAAAATAGACACCCGCACAACAAACAAGGAGCATCATCACTAAACCATACCTCCCAGCACTACATCAACCTGTCTTTTGAACACCTCCAGGGATGGTGCCTCAACCACCTCCCTGGGCAGCCCATTTTGCGCTGAAAACTTTTAATGTTGATCAATGCCGAACATTTTTTGCCCTTGGGCATAATTACCAACCTAAAATTTACATTAATAAATGAAAATATTCCCAGAGATCTGAAACACAGGAAATTGATTGTACTTTAAAGGAAGTGAAAATCACATTTCGACTCTTTGCCAAGTACCTTCAATAGACATGGAGTCAGGCCCTGAGCAAATGAGGTACTTGGGCATTTCTCCTTCAGTAAAAGATTTGTGCTAAAAAACAGAGTAGAATTTGAATCAATAGGAGAAATTCCATGTATGAATCAGCTTTTTTCATCTTTTAATGTTTGATTATATTTATAGTTAGATAGTGAACGGTTAGAACAGATGTCCAAAGTGGCGCTAATGAAAGACGCCATTGATTCTGTGGAAACTGAGGTGAAAAGATTGGCAAGAAGAGCACTGGACTCTGAAACTGAGCTGAGACGACAGGAAGCTGAATATGCTTCACTTAGGTAGGTAAGAGATTATAATTGCATTAGTTTGACAAGTAACATCAGCCTGTGTTCGTTGGTTATCAATCATAACTGTTATATAGCTCAAAGGGAAAGGAATTTATGATAGTTGTTCTTGTGAGCGATTCTTCTTTTCGGAAAGAAACTTTTTTCCTCATTGCTTATTTATATGTAAATGTTCTTGGCTTGTTGATATTACGATATGCTGAAAAACATGTTCAGTGAAAAAATAAAATTCACTCTGAGGTAGGAGTTTTCTGTAAGAAGATGCAGGGATTGATATTTTTTGGTAAAATGCTTTTTTTTCATTTTTTATTGGTTTTATAGAGGTAAGCAAACACACATAAATTAATCAGTGTGTGTAGTTAGTTTCAGATGTCCTTTTCATAGGCTTGGAGCTTTTTCATGAGAGGAAGTAAAATTGAAGCCTTGCGTAGGATTTATGGTCTGTTGCTCAACTGGAGTTCCTAACCATGTTCAGAAGCTTGTAAGTGAGACTAGCCTCAATCGAAGCCTTTAGGGAAGAAAGCACAGGTCAGTGAGTGCAAGATAAAAAAGGATAATTTACTGACTGGAGGGAAAGATCAAGCACGTGTGAAGAGACATAAGGAGGACTAGATCACAGACTGAACTCGGCTACAGGATGAATAGGGTGCAAGAGAAGATAATGTGACTTTGTCATCTTGTATTTTCTTAAATATAATTCAGTTAGGCAAACACTCTTCTAAACCTATGTGTCCTTACTAGTGACCGGTGTAGTCGACACATGAATGTTGTAGGTTTTTTTATTGGATTTTGATTGGTGAGAATACTGGGTGCTAGCATGCAATATTATGCTGGCCCACAATACCTTTCTAAGGATACCGTGATTTCTAAAATAACATGAACTCCTTTGCAAAGCCAGTCCTGAGTTATTGCTGCTTTGTTGTCAGATTTAGGAATAGTGTAAAAAATTGAGTTGTTGAAGATTAGTTGCTGCTAATTTAGTATCTTCTCCTTTTTCCTTCAAACCAAGCTGATAGTTCTCTTCAGTTTCTTCCACAGTTTGAGAATCATTAATATTACTACATGATGTAAATGTATGACTTAGGTATAGCTTGAAACAGATCATGCATTCCAGTGTATATCCCAAGTGCTAATTTTTATCTTAACAATTTTTGAGAAGTTTTTACATCCACCTTTTGGAAAGAATTCTTCTTACTTTTCTGTGATTCTTTACAGGAGCACTCAGACTTTAGTATCCAGAGATTAAAGTGAACATTAATAAAATATCCCAAATAGTCTAAAATACACAGATTAATCATGCTTTTTTTTAACTTTTGCAATTTTAGTGACATTTCAAAAGGGAAAAAAGGAATTTACGAACTTCTGAATTCTCCTGTTTAATGCTCCCTTTTCCAGATTATTGAATGAAAAAACAGAACAGACTCTTTCAGAGACACAGCAAAGCCTTGCTAAGAAAACATATGAAATGCAACTTACCCAGAAGAAAATTATGCTTTTGGATGAAAAAATTGGTGAGTGACAGATACAGTTTTTGTAATAAAATGCAATAGGCTAATTGGTATATTACTGCTTTTTTCTTTTTTTTTTCTTACGAGTTGAAAGAAAAAGTGTTGAATGCAAATAAATATAATTTTGACAGTTTAAAAATTTCAAGTGCCAAACATCTGTTTTCTTTCATTAATTGAAAGGTTTTTGCATCTTAAAATTATGTAATAAAGCCCTTGCAAGTAAGTTTTGGTGACAGTACATACCTTCAGCAATGTCTGTTGGTACCAGTGTGCAGTTGTCTGAGCATGTCAATTGTATTTATGATCCTTTAAGGCAGTATTAGCACCTCTCAGCATCATAAGATGATGATGATGTAATCATCATCAACATCCTTTGCAGTACCTATCCCATATTGTATGTTGCAGCTTTTACATATTATGGGAGTAAATGAGGTGGATACAGGAATGCCAAGGAATATGTTCTGACTTCCAAAACTACAACTGTATTGTGTTAGAAGTCTTGTATTATTTTCTATAGATGCAGTTGACATAATCTATTTTCAAACGCAGTGCTGAATTTTTGAAGGGAAAATAAAGCTAACCTATAGGTAATGACATTTAATGTTAAATCTGCCTTATGCTATTAACATATCTTGGGTTTTGTTACTTCCAAATTTCAAACTCTGATTCACTCCTGAGAAGGCTAGAGAAAATTATGTTTTGTCCACATTAACATCCACATAATTTGTTTTAAAAGTCCAATACCCCTGGTACCATAAAGTAGGGACTTAATGTTTCATAGGCATGTCAGTCTATTTGTTGTTGTATGCTTTTGATCGTTCCTAGGAAGTGTGTCCAAATTAAGTTTATTTTAACCCTAAAAAAATAATAAATCAGTTCATTACAGCTGAATAGCAACTTTTCAGAATTTGGCATCTGAGGTGTCATATCATCTGATTGAAGCATGTTCCAGTCTAGATTCATTAGGATTTTTCATTACTGTGAGGCAAGTCCAGGCAAAGAATCCTGAAATTAATGGAGACTGTCTGTATTGTGCTATTATCCTGTCACCACAGGGTAACAGCAGAATATGCTGAAGGAGAGGAACTACAGTGTAGGTGTGGGGAGAGAAAGTGCTGAGAGAAGAAAGTTGAGAGGTTTTAACTGCAGGATCAGTAGGCAGAAGTAAAGTTAATACAAAGCCAGAAGACAATTGAAGAATAAGGATATTAGCTGGACGGGAATTTGCAACAAGGCAGATTGGTTATCAAGGGAGACTGTAAGTAGGAAATAGCAAGATTGGGAGTCAGTGAATTGAGAAACAGAGTGTGGATGTGACACCAGGGAAAGCTGGGGCAATGCAAGAAATCAGAGACTGAAAATTAATGAAGTGAGAGGAGGGAGGAAAGAAGGATCAGAGACATCCAGTGAGGAGAGCTAGTATGAAGTGGTTAAACAGACTGGAAAGATCTTAAAATTGGATGACTAGTTTAGACGTTATGGGTAGAACTTGGAGCTATTGGACACACACCATGACTAGAAACTGTGAGCTGCTATACACACAGAATATTTAGGGCTTGGACAGTAAAGCTGAAAGCAGGAGAAAGATTGAAGTAAAAGGAGATTGAGATAGAAAATGTGGATTTAGAGAAGGAGCCTAGGATGAGAAACCTTAAGACTTCAGGCTGACCAAAGTGAAGAGAAAGGATGAGTAGCTAATGATATCTTCTTGGAGAGGTAGAATTGGAGAAGATGGAAAGAAAGTGTGTGTGCCCACTAGAGAACCTTTTGGAGTCTGGAACGGAACTTGAGATTTCCAAGTTTTGTGTTACCTTCTCTTGTCCGTAAAATAATGTAAACTTGGCAAAGTGTCTCTTAGGTCACAGTTTGGGCATCCAAAATAATCAGATAGTGTTTTCAATTGATCTTTGTGCCTCCATTCCTTCTCTGTAAAATGGGGATAACACACCCTTGCTTAGAATCACAGGAGGACTGAGGTTGGAAAGCACTTCAGAAAGTCGTCTTGTCTAACCTCCCTTCTCAAGGAGGGACACCTAAAGCCAGTTGCCCAGGACCGTGTCTACATGGCTTTTGAATATCTCCAAGGAAGGAGACTTCATAGCCTCCCTGGGCAACCTGTTCCAGTTCTCAGTCACTCTCAGTTAAAAAAAAAACAAAACGTGTTTCCTTATCTACAGAGGGAACCTCCTGTGTTACAGGTTATGCCCATTGCCTCTGGTCCTGACAGTGGGAACCACTGAAAAGAGTCTGGCTCTGTCCTCTTTGCACCCTCCCTTCCGGTATTTATATACACTTATAACTCCTACTCCCAAGCCTTCTCTTCTCCGGGCTATATAGTCCCAGCTCTCAGCTTTTTCTCATAGGAGAAAGGCCCTCAGTCATTTTCATGGCCTTCCGTTGGACTCCCTCCCGCATGTCCGTGTCTCTCTTGTACTGGGGAGATGAGAATGGACCCAGCACTCCAGATGTATCGCATCAGAGCTGAGTAGAAGGGAAGGATCACCTCCCCCAACCAGCTGGCAATACTTCGCCTACTGCAGCCTGGGTTACTGTTAGCCTTCTTTGCAGCCAGGCACATGGGTGGATCACGTTCAACTTGGTGTCCACCAGGACCCCCAGCTTTCCTGCCAAGCTGCTTTCCAGCTGGGTGGTGGTGGAAATTGTGCCCTGGGATTGTTCATCCCCAGGTGCAGGACTTTGCACTTCTCTGTCTTGAACTTCATGATTCCTGTTATCCCCTATTTCCAGCCTGTCAAGGTCCCTCTGGATGGTAGCATGACCCTCTGGTGTATCAGCCACTCCTCCCAGTTTTGCATCATCAGCAAAATTCCTGATAGTATGCTCTGCCCCATTATCCACATTCTCAATGAAAATGTAAAACAGGACTGGACACAGTATTAGTCCCTGGGGCACACCACTAGTTACTGTCCTCCAACTAGGCTTTGTGTCACTGATCACCATCCTCTGGGCCTGGCTGTTCAGGCATTTTTCAGCCCACCTCACTGCTCATTCCAGCCCATATGTCAACAGCTCGTCTACGAGTATATTATGGGAGTGTCAAAGACCTTACTGAACTCAAGGTAGACAACATCTCCTGCTCTCCCCTCATCTACCAGGTGACTCATTTCATCATAGAACTTTGACAAGTTGGTCAAGCGTGGCTTCCAGCCATGCTGATTACTACTGGTAACTTTCTTGCCCTTAATGTTCCTGGAAATGGTTTCCAGGATTAGTTGCTCCATCAGGATTTTCTTTAGAGCCAGGTTTGAATGCTGTCTTAGCAGGTTCCACAGCTGTACATCCAAAAATATGGTGTGGAAATTTGAGTGCCTTTCATCTTGTGTTTTGAAATAGGGAGAAATTCTGTTGAAAAGTAGAAAGTGAATATACGCTATGATGTCCCTGAAAGACTGAGCTACAGATCATTTTACTTTGAATGTTTTGTCTCCTGGAAGTGATTCATAAGTCTCATTCAATAAGCACCATTACGTTGATATTTAAAGAGTAATTTGCAGCCTGCATGGTTTCTATGAGATGTAAGGTTCACTGTGAGAAGGGTTGCTGTGTTTCTTCTCTGCGAATCCAGTGTATGTAGATCATATAAGGATTGATTCTCTGACCATTTACAGGTAAATGTAGTGTGTAACACCTTATTACCTGAATGAAGATAGGGAGAGGCATCTTTTTGAATTTGATTTTGTAGTGTGTGGATTGCGTTTTTCATTATTATCTTTGCAATTTTTAAGTGGTGTTGAATTTTACACATGTATTACTCCCATTCATTTTTACATAAGTTCATTTAAATAAATAAAAAAATTATTTCAGAAAAAATGACTAATATCAAGATATAATCTCTTTTATTTCATCAGTCATTACACACTGTAGTCTACATATTGCTTTAGTCTACTGTAATACTGCTTAAGCCTTTATTGTTATAATACCTGAGAGAGTTATTTTTAATGATCTAAACATTTGCTGTTTAAAGATAGATTTGTTTTGAGCCAGTTAATTTGAAGCCTTGATCTAAGGAAAAATGCAGTGCTATAAATATTAGTCGGATTGTTTATGTTTCAAAAAGGTACATGCTTCAGTGTTTTCTTGAAGGGGAGCTTTTGCCATGTTCTTTTCTGCTTTAGAAGTGTATAAAAGAATTTTTACTTCAAATGGGATGAATTAATAAAAATGAGACCTTTTTGATTGCGTGCAGATAACTTTTCAAGACAAAGTCTTGTACAACAAGAGGAAATCTGTGCTCTGAAAGAAACAATTGCACAACTTGATAAAGAGAAGGCAACTTTGCAAAACTGGGTGGAAGAAGGAAGAGAGAAGATTGCTACTTTTGAGGAAAGCCTGGCAATTAAAGTATGTTTTAACATGTAAATAGTCACAAAAGATAAATAGGGAAAGAATCTGTTGGGTCATCACACCTATCTTATATTGGTATCCTCAACAGTGCTCAGTGCTGAACTAGTTCTGCTCCAGTTTCAAGGCAACGATAAACTGGATATTGATTTAGGATAAATTAAAGAAGGCACTTTAAAACTGTTTTGATTGTTAACTCAAGAATTTGCAGCGATTTTTAAGAAAATCTCAAAGAAAATATATGGCAGGACAGGCTATGATCATCTTGCCACAAGCACTGACTTTACATTTTAAAAACTGTAAATTGTAAAGTGGTGTCCATTTTGGAGAAGAGAAGGCTGTCTCTCACCTCTTGTGTCTCCAGTGGAAGAGTGATACACTTTGTGCTACCTTCTTTATGGAAATACAGTGACAGAATTCTTGTTTTATCAATTGCAAACTACCAGACTCTGGTAGTTTATTCATTGTAGAAAAGCTGTGAGAACTTATCTAATAGACAGAAGACATCATTTAGTTTTGGAAGTGTAAGCCAATGCTACCTTTAGAACGACAAAGAATTAAAAATTTTAATTAAAGTTTTATATTCTGCAGAAGATAATAATATTTGTTTCTTTATCTTCCAAATGAGATTATCAGAATTTTCAGCTCTAAACAGTACAGGATGAAGCTTGGAAAATCACAATCCATTTTGCATTAAATAGTTAAATTAATCAGCTAGCTGAATAAAAGAAAAATATAGATAATGTTATTTAATTTTCTTTCCATTTATACTGAGGAGTGGTGAGAGGTTTATTTTAATTTTGTATTTCTTTTCAAGGAGAAAGTAATTTCAGATTTCAAGATTCTGATTTCTGAGATGGAGCATTCCACAAAGTAAGGATACAATGTCAAGAATGTTATTAAATTTTATTAATTTATAGCATTACTTAAAAAATGGAATCATAGGATGTGCTAATGGATAAATGTTTTTTTTACCCTATTAAATATTAAAATGTCACAGTTTTGTTTCATGACTTATAAACTTAACCACTGGAAAACCTTTTATTAGGTTGGGCAGTGTTGTCACACCTGAAGTTTTTTTCATTTGCTGCATAGAAAGTCTTCTGAAGCACTCTGTGCCTGTAAGAAAGATATCACCAGTTTGCGTCAACAGCTACACGAAACCAACGAAGAACTTGCACAGACTAACAAGAACAGAGAATCATTAGCTCAGGAGAATGACAGGTTACGAGAACATCTTTCTAATATTAAGCAAGAAAATCAGGTATATTTGTACAGAGAACCCTTGAATAAAAAAGAAAATTGTATATTTTTCAAGTAGTGCATAGAATTGTTGGGCCCTCATCTGAAGTAAATCTGTAAACTAGTTTTTAAGCTCATTTTTCAAACTCTGATTTATCCCTTATTGCTCAGCTTCCTTGTATGAAGAGGACCAGCTATTCTTATGTAATGGTTTGGATGTTTATCTTGAGGAACAGCTAATTAATGTTTTTTTTTATCTTAATGTAAAAACACTGTGGCAGTTATAACTATTACTTATATGGAAAAATACTATAAAGGACACAGAGTATTTCTTACACTGTGGTGTGCCTGGCCCAGAGCACTTACAAGCTTATGAACTTGACTTGCTAATAATTTAACACAGAACGCATTTTAATAAGGTTCAAAACTATGAATAGTATTATATTTATGTACATTCCTTTAAAGTGGCTTTTGCATAGAAGATGCTGGAAATACTTGGTCATAATACAGTATTACATTATCTACTGTGTTACTAATCTGTGTGCAGTTACTAATGACAGCAGTTAAAATACTTAAAACTAAAGTGTCGTCTCATGCATGCACAGTGTTCATGCATCAATGTGTCTTTCAAGCAGATAGAAATTAAGCTTAATACCTGCACTAGTTCATCACTGTGTAATGTTCTGGTTTTTCTTCTTTTTGTTCAACCTCTTGCCTTCATTTAGGTTTTCTGATACTTGCTCTTTCTTCTCTGCACTTATTTTACTGCATAGGATATCTTTGCTCACCTGGCTTTCTCTTCCTCTAGAAGTGCTACCTAGTTTTGAAGGACCAGGTGAACTTCATGTAATTTTAGTTATATAATATTTTCAAGTTATTAAGGCTCCCTTTTAAGCAGAGAAAAGTATTCCAGAAGGAGATTCATCCAATCACAGTTTTAAAAGTGACTCATTTTACCTGTCTCTCTCCTTTCGTTATAGAGGAAGCATAGCTAACTAGTTTAGAGCAAGTTCCTAATTCTATGTTGTGAAAATTAGATGAGACAGCTCCTATGCTAAATAACTCTTCTCTCAAACACATTAATCTCTTCTCTTTAGCACCCTTCGTGACTGTGCTAGAAAAATTGAGGTCCTAGTAGTTTTAACCACCAAAGGTAGGTAGTGAGTGCCACTAGAAATGTGGATTGCTGAAAGAGATTACCGCAGGGAATCCCTATTTTTTACCTTCTCTCAGAATCACAGTTGATGCTGATATGGTCAGCTGGTACAAATCAAATCTTCCTGTTGTTTTTATACCTTCGTAGTTTTCTTTGCAGTGCCTGGATGCCTGTAGAAGCAGTTAGAAACAAAAAGTTTTAGCCCCACAGAAGCAACTACTTTTTAATGGGCTTGCATCTATAATATGTAATGGTTCTTCCATTAATTTAGGTGATGTTCAAAGTACTTAACATAGCATTCCCTTTTCTTCAGTTGGGCTTACTGAAAAAGTTCACAGAACCTTTCTCAGCAATTCACAGCCTTTTCACAATAGAATCATAGAATTGTCTAGGTTGGAAGGGACCTTTAACATCATCAAGTCCAACCATCAACCTAACTCTGATAAAAACCATCGCTAAACCATGTCACTAAGCATTATGTCTACTGGTCTTTTAAATACCTCCAGGGATGGTGCCTCAACCACTTCCCTGGGCAGCCTGTTCCAGTGCTTAATAACTCTTTTCAGGGTAAAAATTTTTCCTAATATCCAACCTGAACCTCCCCTGGCGCAACTTGAGGCCATTTCCTCTTGTCCTGTTGCCTGTGACTTGACCACCTAGCTGCTAAATAAACCATCTGTCTTTTTCTCCTTAACTGCTGCATTCTTTTATAAACACTTTTCTTCTTTTTAAGATTTATCATTATTTGTAAGTCAAAGAAGGTAAATATTTTTCATACATGCCAAATGTTATTTATAGATATATATACATGATTTAAATTTTATATAGCCTTTAAGTAACTTATTAATAAAGCCATAGGCACTAGATACACACTAATTCTATTTTTTTTTTTAAGATACAAACAGTATACTTTAACCTTATAAAACAAATTTTTCTTCATAGGTGCTATATAAAAAACTAGCAAAGTACCAGAATGAGCTTGATGACATGAAGTTGAAAGCCCAGGATTCAAACACAGATATTGTCAGGCTGAAGGGCATACTGAAGTCTAAAGTGGGTATATGGATTAAACCTATTGTTTTAACTAGAAATGAAATTTTAACCATGCTTCCATGGAATAATTTGCTTCCTTGCTGAAACTTATTTGCACTCTACTAACAGCTTTTTCATAGCTTGAACACATTTTCTTAGTTGTTTTTGCAGTACACAAGTAAGGTAGTCTATTTCAGTGTGGTTTTATATATATGCATGTGTGTGTTTATTAAACTTAAGAATTCAGAGAGTGAATAATACAGAGACTTGAAACTCTTTTGTCTTTCTTACCATATGGGATTAATATTAAATAATAATAATAATTCTGCAATATATTGCAATATATTTTGTCATTTTTTAACAGTTGTCTTTTGAGCATTAAAATACAGCCATCTTGAACAAGACACTGGTTCCTGAGAAGTCTCTCGATGTTTTTGGCTAAATGGCAAAGTTTTCAATGGAAAGAGAACTTCCAATACCATGTCATACCTGTAGACCTATAGTTATCCCGATTTTGTGAAGCTTGCTGTGAATTATTAAACTAACAAGCTTTATGTGTTAGGAGATGGAGAACTGCGAGCTTTTGGAGAATTACCACAAAGCCTGTGAACAAGGAGAAAGCTGGGAAGCAAGATGCCATCAAGCAGAAGCAGATTGTAGCTCTGTTAGATGGGCACGGATCAGTGTGGAGTCTGAAAACCGCAGGCTGAAAGAGAAAATGGAGTCCCTTGAAACAGAGATGGAGCAAGTAAGTTGAAATTGTTCTTTCCATAGTTCACCCTTGAGATGGTCTGGTAGGATTTTAAGCCTGCAGCTGTTTAAAGTGATGCTTAATGCCACTTCTTATATTTTAGAGATACTTGCTACAATGAACTGTATGGAGTTTGAGTTTATTTAATAATATGACTAGATTTCCGTTAGTCACTCTTGGAAAAAGATCTTTAAAAGTGATAGCATATTTTTAAGGGAAAAAAGTTCTAAAATGCTCTTGTATTTGGAATGACCAAAGGCATAACGTCGCACAACTCCACAGCATACCTTGTGCTTTGTTGCCTGTTATGTTCCTGTCCCTGCTTTTCTTGCTTCCAGCTTTTCAGCCTTCTTTCCTCTGCTTTAGGTGGCCTAGAGATCCTCTTCCCCCTTGAAAAACTGAAGAACTTAAGGGGATATGCACAGCATGCCTTTGAAAATACATTATGAACATATAAAGTATCTTCTGGTCTTGGGTTGTTACCATTTTTGTTGCACATCATTGCTGTTTCGTGAATATCACATAGGCTACGGAGGATGTGTTTAAGGGACATTTAGATGGGGTACTGAGGGATATGGTGTAGGGGAGGACTTTGTAGAGTAGGGTGATGATCCCAAGGGTCTCTTCCAACCTGAACGATTCTATGATTCTATGATCACCTGTGCACTTCAGATACTCAGGAAGCACTGAGCTGCTGCTGTTCAGGAAATGGGTGAAAACATAACAGTAGCAAAACAGCACAGGAAGATTGTGTGGCAGATTTTGACATTTTTTGAGTACAATAAAACTGGTACATGGTCCTAGTTTGTCCAGCCAGCCTCAAATGGGTAGAGATATCATGCTGCTAATTCCTTCCCACATGCCTGCTATTAAATATCGTAATAAACGGGCCTCTTCATGAAAACCATGTCATCAAATTGAGTCAGAATTCCAGGTGGATATCATGTTCAGGTTCACAGCAGTTACATGTAAGGCACATATCTAAAACTCAGAAGTTCTAATTTAAAAAGTCCTAACATGCTTAGCAGTGCCCTGTGTTCCCTGTGCTTTTTTTTTAGGCAAGAAAGAGCTAGGATTAATGTGACATGCTCCCCCTACAATCATCTCTTTTGGTCTCATTCCTAAGAAATCCTTCAAGGAAGCCACCCTTTCCTTTTGTCAACAACCTCCTAGACTCATTCTGTCACCTACTGAAAATAAGTAGTTAGAAGTCACCAGAAATACCAGTCAAGTGTCAAGGAGCAAAGTACAGTCATTTTTCAAAAATGAAAAACCTAAGCTATGTTAATTTAAAATATACAAAATTATGAATGCCTGTAGTCAGAACTGCTGCTGCTGGCTTGTGGACTTCTCTTCTGTCATGCCTGAGTTCATGGGTGACAGCAGTATAAATATAACTGACAGTATCTCAGCATTCACTGATCATCTACATGCAAGAATACGTTTTCTTCTTAAAATAAGGGGGTCTAATCTGAAAATGGAATGGCACCCATGGCAGAGTTTTGAACCTTATTAGCTCTGCAGAAGGAGTAGAATTCTAGGAATAGCTTAAAATGTCAGTAGCTGATTTTGCTGTCAGAAGCAAGAGCTCTTCTCTTCTAGTTTTTGTATGTGGGAGTTATTTAAAGAAATAACTTTAAAGTTTATTCTAGAATAAATGACTGCTGCTTCTTAAAATTCACCACAATTACGTAGAAGTACTTTTGTATGATTTGGGAAGCACTTTTAAATTTTCTTTGTAGTAGAGTTCTAATAATGTGATATTCCTTTATTGTAGTATTTAACCACAGAAGCAGCATACAAGTCTCAGACTTCTGCCTTAAGCAAGTCGCTTGTGAAAATTGAGAGCTTCAAAAATCATAGAATCATAGAATCATTCAGGTTGGAAGAGACCCTTGGGATCATCGAGTCCAACCATCCACCCTACTCTACAAAGTCCTCCCCTACACCATATCCCTCAGTACCGCATCTAAACGTCCCTTAAACACAGCCAGGGATGGTGACTCAACCACCTCCCTGGGCAGCCTGTTCCAATGCCCGACCACTCTCTGTGAATAATTCCTTCCTAATGTTCAGTCTAAACCTACCCTGTTGGAGCTTGAAGCCGTTCCCTCTTGTTCTGTCATTAATTACCTGTGAGAAGAGACCAGCACCAACCTCTCTACAGTGTCCTTTCAAGTAGTTGTAGGGAGTGATGAGGTCTCCCCTCAGCCTCCTCTTCCTCAAACTAAACAGCCCCAGCTCCTTCAGCTGCTCTTCATATGATTTGTCTTCCAGGCCCTTCACCAGCTTCGTTGCCCTCCTCTGCACTCGCTCCAGCACCTCGATATCTCTCTTGTATTGACATATGTAAATACATCATGAGAGAGTTCTCTCTATTTGCAAATCTCACATCTACACAAGAGCTTTGCATTAAAATAGATGCAGTCAAATAATGATTAAATAAATCAGCAGTTAACTTGCACAGCAGAGAAGGTAGGGTATGTGAAATATTTTAGAAAAATAGGTTTGTTAACATTATACTTAAGGGATCTAAATCCACTTTGAGATCTAGAATGATCAAAGAAATCCCTGTTGATGATTAGTGCTTCAATTTTTTAAATTGAAATGTTTAAATGTTTTCATTAGGGGCTTACTCCTCAGAGGGCGGATACTATTTGAAAAGCTCACTGCTTTGCAAGGCTTTACTATGAATACTCAAATCAGAACTTAAAATTACTGGTTGTTCTCTTGACAAATGTCGTGGATTTTACATCTAGTTACTAAGTAAGCAGAGTAGCTGGAGTAGTTTATTAGTAAAGAAACTTGACATGGACTTCAAAATGCTTGACTTCCAGGAAGTATCAATATCTTTTTAATAATCTCTCCTTAATTTTCCTTGAAAATGAATTTCTGTTGACCTTGAATTTTTACAAAACCTACAATATTAATGTTTGGTAGGCAAATCTTTAAAAGCTCAGCTTGGATAAACTCTGAAAAAATTTTCATACATACTCAGAATATTCAGATATTTTCAGTATGATTCTGTCACTGTCCTGTCCATTCTCTGCTCCAGCTGAGATAATTTCTTGTTCTTTACATGCTTCCAGCATTCTCTTTTGACCTTTATGCTTTTTCCATATGCCATGGGTAAAGCTGCTGTTTGACAGTTGGTTTGTTCCAGTCAAACGTGTGCGATGTCTTTTTTATGTTTGTGGATACTTTTGATAGGGAAGATTTCCAGCATCAGATATTTTGTGAGATATTTTTGAAGCTTTTGTGAGATTTTATATTACTAAGCCTTCCTGGATCCTTCTGTGAGATTGTCAGTGAAGGGACTTGCTGGGACTATGGAGAGCAGCAGAGAAAAATACAGAGATTGAGTTGGAGAAAAGTCTGAGGTTGAGAAATTGTCACCTTTTTTTTTTCATGCCTTTCAACAAGTGGTTTTTCATCAGCGTGTATAACCTTCAGATAGGGCTGTTATTCCAATGCAGAAATCTGTATTACTAGATTGCAGCATACATATATTCAGAAGTGGAAATAGAATCTGATGCTGAACATTATTGTTCTTTCAGTGTTTCTAGTAGCGTTTATTTTCCTATAATTTATTCATTTATGCTGTCTACAGTTTTCAGTATTCTTTTGTTCTGAAATACAAAAGTAGAATATCAAAACTGTTTATAGGCTAGATTTTTGATTGACAGTTAGTAGAAAATTGGATCTTTCAGACTGAAGATACAGAATCACAGAATCACAGAATATTCATGGTTGGAAGGGAACTTTGAGATCATCGAGTCCAACCACAAAAACAAACAAACAAAAAAACCCCCACCAAATAAATCCCACAACCCAAACCAACAAACACACACCCCACACCTACTCACGGACAGACAAAACCCAACAATCTCGGGCACTAGAGCATGCCCTGAAGAGCTATGACTACATGTTTCTTAAATACCTCCAAGGACAGGGGCTCCACCACCTCCCTGGGCAGGCTGTTCCAGTGCCTGACCACTCTCTTAGTAAAGTAATTCTTCCTGATATCTAATCTAAACCTCGCTCGCCGCAACTTTAAACCATTTCCTCTGGTTCTGTCATTATTCCCTTGGGAGAAGAGGCCAACACCCACCTCTCTACAACCTCCTTTCAGGTAGTTGTAGAGGGCAATGAGGTCTCCCCTCAGCCTCCTCTTCTCCAAACTAAACATGCCCAGTTCCCTCAGCCTTTTCTCATATGACTTGTTCTCTAGACCCCTCACCAGCTTGGTGGCTCTCCTCTGGACACGCTCCAGCAGCTCAATGCCCTTCCTGTAGTGAGGGGCCCAGAACCGAACACGGTACTCAAGGTGAGGCCTCTCCAGTGCTGAGTACAGAGGCACCATGACTTCCCTACTCCTGCTGGCCATGCTAGTCCTGATACAGGCCAGGATGCCGTTGCCCTTCTTGGCCACCTGGGCACACTGCTGGCTCTTGTTAAGCCGCCTGTCCACCAACACTCCTAGGCCTTTTTCTGCTGGGCAACTTTCCAGCCATTCTTCCCCAAGCCTGTAGCGTTGCCTGGGGTTGTTGTGACCAAAACGCAGGACCCGGCACTTGGCCTTATTAAACCTCAGCCCATTGGCCTTGGCCCATTGATCCAACTTGTCCAGATTCCTGTAGAGCCTTCCGACCCACAAGCAGATCAACACTCCCACCTAGTTTGGTGTCATCTGCAAACGTACTGAGGGTGCACTCAATCCCCTTATCTAGATCATCAGTAAAAATATTAAACAAGACTGGCCCCAGAACTGAGCCCTGAGGGACACCACCGGTGACCGGCCACGAACCGGATTTCACCCCATTAATCACAACGTGCTGGGCACAATCATCCAGCCAGTTTTTTATCCAGTGACGGGTATGCTTGTCTATGCCATGATTCACCAGCTTCTTCAGGAGAACACTGTGGGGGACGGTGTCAAAGGCCTTTACCAAAGTCCAGGTAGACAACGTCCACAGCCTTCTCCTCATCAAGAAAGTGGGTCACGTGGTCATAGAAAGAGATCAAGTTGGTTAAGCAGGACCTCCCTTTCATAAACCCATGGTGCATACCTTTTAGTTTAGTTTGGTAAAACCAAATAATTTTGCTTTGGAAAGTGAAAAAAGCTTTTGTGTGTGTGTGCTTTTTTCTTTTGTTTTCTTTTTTTGTTCGTTTGTTTTCTTCTTTTTTCCCTGTTGGCCTGTGACCTTAGCTCTCTCAATATCTGATCTCAAGGCACAAATGGTTATCCTCTGAAAATTCTGATGAATGTTCTGTAGAGGTGGGGTGTTTAGTAAGATGTGTCAGTTCATAGATTTACTATGACCTTTGGGTGAGCATTATTGTGCTAAATGTAAACTAGGTTTAAGTAAAATACAGATAAAAGTGCTTGCAGTATCCCAAATGGACTCAATTAGACATACTAAAATATGTACATGAAAAGATGAAGAAAAATAGCATCTAGCTTGTTTACACTAAGATTAGAACAGGCAGATTTTTGTGTCTCTGTAGCTGACTCAAAACAGATTTTCCTGACTCACCATCTCTGGGTTTGTTGGGTTTGTGTTTTGATTTGTTGGTTGTGGTTTTTTTCTTTTCTTTTTTTTGTAGTTATGTCTCAGGTACATCCATTGTTCCTTTTTCAGTGGAACATACCAGGTTTCGTGGATATTATTCTGTTTTAGGTTCCTGGAAGATACACAGATGCTTAATCTCATTTTGGATTTTATTCATTTTCTCTTTCCTCCCAAATTTATTCTTGGTGTTTCTTTAAGTAAAATAAGTGTAATCTCACTCTGCTGGAGATCCAGATATTGGTTTGTTATACCACGTGCCATTTCCTGCATGCAAATGGTTAATCAGTAGTTTCTTGCCTCAACAAAATACAGAACTTCTCTCCTCTTTTTAATGATTCTGTCTACAGTCTATATCCCCATTGATCCATATATTTAATAGCATTTTGTCATTTCTACCAAGAACATTTATATTCTGATACATACATTGGGTGAATTTATAAATCTGACACAAGATTCTGACTGAAGGCAAATGAAACTTGAATCATCAGTGGAGTGAGAGCGAATTTTGGTCATACATCCCAGACTTCCTTTTTTCTTTTTCTCTCTTTTTAAGGTTACCATAATAGATAGATAAAACTTTAAAATCTTTGTTTAGCTGCAGAGCAAGTGTGTGTCATCCCATTCTGAAATAGAGCTGCTGAGAAAACAACTGGTAAATGAAAGAGCATCTATGAAAAACCTGGAATCTTTGCTTGCATCCAGTCGTGAGAAAGAATTTCAGTCACAGATAGAAAAACAAGAAAAAGACTCTGAAATTCAGTTTCTAAAGGAACAGCTTGCTTTAGCAGAAAATAAACTGTGAGTAAATGACCAGGAGAATATTGCAGGTTTTTTCATTCTTCCCAAGTGTATACACACACAGATGATTATATATCTAGATGCATTTTCAAATGGCTAATGTACCTTGGTTACTTCACCAGCAGAAGATACCAAAAACCTGCTTCTGATTCCCCAGCTATATCCTAATAGTCTTTTCTGTGTACTGTTATATTTCACTCCAAAAAATGTTCTCACTCTTAATTGCATGGTATAGATTCCCTTTTAATTTTGGGTAATTGTATTTGGTAAGATACTTGGAGGATTATAGTTAATATCTAATTAAACTGTATGGACTTTACAGTGCTATGCAGAGTCAAGATTTAACTGAGCTCAGGAATATTGCAGCTCAGGTAGAGCTGGAACTGGATTTCACCAAAAGACAGCTGGGGACTGAGCGCTTCGAAAGGCAAGTATATGTTTTTGTACTGTGCTTCCTGTATCTAATTGGGGTAACAAGCAATAGGGTACTAAGGCTTAGACTGATCAGTAGGGTAAACAACAAAGTTTGGTTTTGTTCCACTGTACACCTTCTGTGTATTCGGAGGCTATTCATGTCACTGAATTCAGTCTGTGTAGCTCTTATACATGCTGTCTAAATTAGTTGTCTAGGTTCCCTTTATAGCCAATGGAATGACACACTGGGATAAGCTGCTCTCTAGAATTCCCTGTTTTGGGATGGGATGGATCACTTTCCTGAAGATGTTCATATGTCTTCACTCATTTATAGAGAAGCTTGTCTTGATCTCTTGATAGTGAGAGTCTAGGTGATGAGCTGCCTCCACAAGTGATTTATAGACTACTAATTCTGCGATATGAAGGGCCACCTTTTGGCTACACTTGTACTAGTGAACTAAAACAGGTCAGAGCATTGTCTTGAGAGGTCCACACAACTCTATACTTGTCCATACAGTTTAATTGTTAGTACCCACTCCAGAATGATTTTAGCCCATACCAACCTGCCTTCTCCCAGGTACTGCTTGGGGCACAGAAGGTACTAGAGATGGTTTCCAAATGGCAGTATGGCCAAAGTCAATTTAAATTATTATTTATTTTTTTTAATGGGAAGAGGATTTATCAATATGTACCAATGTGTACCAATTGTATCAATTATGTATCAAGCTGTTTCATATGATTTGGCCAGAGTACCAGAGAGCAGTCCCTGGACTGCTTCATGAGTTAGTTTATCTACCTAGTCTCAGTGTCTTAAATAGTTTTCTTATCTGTGAAACGACAGTACTTCTCTATTTCATGGATGTATTGAGGATAAAATATTATCATTGTGACCATGTTAGGAATTATTTTGGGTATCTAAAAGAGATGACTAAAAGAAGCAGAGTGATGTGATTATAGCACAGATTTGAGAATCAGGTGTCTTGTTTAATTGTAGTAAATTATGTCGCTGATACTCTGTTCTCTCATAGGTAAAGATGAAGGTTTTGGAGGGGACATCTCTACATCTGATGTTAGGTCTTTTAAAGATGGATTTCATAAATGTCTCAGTGCACGTTTCAATTTCAAATTGGATTCTCCTTTACCCTGAACACATGGCAAGAAGTGCTAAACTTTTGGGTTAGATGTGCAAGTCAGTTTAAAAAGTGGCATCATTTGTGCTTGTTCAGGTGCATAGAATGAGCTAGACGGGAGTACCTTTGTTTTAAATGAAACTCAATCTTCTTCAGACTGTTGTTTCTCTACTCCCATTTTGTAAGTGCCCACATCTCATGGTGTATGGGTGCTCCCTGTTAGGGACTGCATTTGTTTCTTCTTGAAGTATTCAGTGGCAGAAAGTTGAATCAGCCTCCATACTTAATCTCTTCTCCTAGTTAAGGACAATTTGTTACTCACATGGTTGTTTATAGCTGCAATAATATCAACACTTAGTTTACAGATGGTTAGCCTTTCTGAGGCAAAGATTGACAGTTTTTATGCTTGCAGATAATTTCTTTTCAAGAGAATTACAAACATGATTACCTGAATTGTTTTGGAAAGAACAAAGCTAGATTCCATTATGCAGTTTGTAAGTCAGTTGCAAAAACAATATGCAGAAATCTTAAAGAGCAAAGACTGAAATGTTCAGGTATAAAAATCTGAGCCTGACAATAGATTTAGCTGTCTTTGAAAGGCTGGAGCTTTTTTCATAAAATCAAAACAGTGTCCCTTCAACATCCCACAAAGGTTACAATAATTTTATTTCTTTTCTGTTTTTCCTCAGAAAGTCATGCTTTACAAGAGCAGGTATCTATCTCTCTTGCTTGCAGGGAAAAGGATTAAAGCTCCAAGTTGGTTTCTCACAGCCAATCTGTATTTCTGGTAGTGGCAAGTGAAAAGCAGATTAGCCAGAGAGAAAAAATACTATTGTTAAAGTTGGTACCATGATAGTGTGTAATGGAAGCAGCAGATGTCACCACTGACTGGGGGTTTTTTGTTGTCAGTTTAAACAAGTGGATAGATGATATCCTTGTTCTAACAATGACTTAACTTTACTGCCTTGGTGCAGAAATAATACCTGAAATTAGGAGGTGGAAGCGCCAACGTTGTCAGGCCTTCAATGAGCATTAACACAGGGATACTAGGAGGCTTAATCCATCTGTCTGGGTTTTTCTTTACCATTCAGAAAAGGCACCTCCCCATCTCTCCCACCCTCCTGACTGCAAAAGCAGTTTGGACTCATGTGGAAACAACAGGTTTGATTTATTGCCCTGTTCTGGCTGTGGTGACCAAGCACAGGGACTGACTGTCAGACACCCCTGAACAACCCCACTCACAACTTGCATATCTTTTTATCCCTTTCTGTTTCTTAACCCTCCTTTTTGCTGCCCTTGTACCTCCCTTTCTCTGCCCCAATCTCTTCCTAAATAAAAAACGTGCCCATGGTTGCTTTTCCCTGTTGGTCATAGTTTTGCTACATTCATACCCAAACTTGGTATTCTACAGGGTGATGTTACCTGTGAGAGCTGCAAGCAGCTGCATTCTGACTTCCCACCATTGCTGGCACCATCTTGTCCATTAAAGACAGTAGAGCATGTGCATAGTAAAGCCCTTAAAAGCAATAATGCTAGTAAGACTAGCAGTTAATGTAGTTAAGTCTGGATCCATAGTCTTTCCAGCGCGTATGACCTCCCCAGGCACAAAGGTTGTGGGATGTTGGTAGGTAGGTGGCAGACTGTTACTGTCTCACTGGGCTCCAGCTGCCTGTAGATTCAGATCTATGAGCTGATGGGTCTGGATCTGATCCCTCTCCTGCAGGCTTTGGTGATCTGTTTCGGTGATGTGTGCCATAGGTAGGTCTGTAGAAATGGCTAAGTCACACTGGAGTCAGTTTCAGTTCAATGGCATATGGGCAGTCCCAGTTATACCTTCATTTGCAAGGTTTTGGGCAACTTGGGAGTCCTTTTTTCCAGCCTGGGTCGGTGCTATCCTCCCAATACACCCATTCATTTATAATTTTTACTGGGCTTATATGTTGAAACTCAGGGGTTCTTGTAGCCACCCTTCCTATTTGTTTCCCGGACCAACACAGACTAGATTCTCCTCATGTAAAAAATTGGCATCCTGAAACACGATCCCAGGCAAGTATGTACCTCTAAAATTTTCCAATGTATTATCCAATCCCACCTGCTTCCTCCCCTTATTCCCAGATGCAGGAGTTACAGATTGATCCAGTACCCAAGTTCTTTAGTGGTTTAGTGATTGTCCTTATGTTGCGGGCTTGTGAATAACCTTCAAATTAGGCTCTTCATCCCTGGAGATTTTAACAATTTTTAGAGTTTAACCTGCAGCAACCATGGCTAGTTTCTGTCTTTATGGAAAAAAGAGGCAATGGGTATGTAGAACTAAATTTGAGTAAGGATGTTATTCAAAAAGAGTCACTGATCTGTCTTTCAGAGAAGTATATGATGAACACCATATCTCCTTTTAAAATAAAATAAAATAGCTGACAATCTTAAAAGGAAAAAAAAAAAAGATGCTAAAGACTATAAGATAATTTTGATTATTTTTGAAAAGTGCTTAGTCTCACTGTAAAATAATGTTCATTTAGGCAACGTGTTGTACAGGAGTGCCGATGCCAGAATCATACAATCTCGTATCAATTAAGCTCTACATTGAGAACATCATCATCACCTGAACGTTCCCATTATCGACCTCCTCATTGGTCTCTGGACTGACCCCTGGATGGATGAGTGGTTCAACGACATTTAAGTTCCAAACACTGAGGGTAAAAAAATAAAAGCGTGAACTCTTGTTGAAATATTGACTGAATTCCATGGAATTACATTGCTCCAAGAAAAGTTACAAGAAGATTCAGGATCACAATCTTTTGACAATGCTCCTTCTGTTTTGTTTTATTGAGCTGTATCAAAAGTGTGGGGTTAATAGCAACTGCTTGCACTGGGATGCTATAGTCATAAATTCTTAAAACCATAATAGAAATAAAGTTACAGAAGATCTCGACTTGCCACCATTTTGTGCAGGTGTAGATGTAAATATTTTCATTTTCCTACATAAAAGCTGTTAAATATCCAACCTTTCTTCTAGTAGTTTTCAGGATAATTTTTACTCTATGCATTTTTTACAAGAAACATCAATGCATTCTAAAAGTCTTCAAAGGCTTATAACCCTGAGAGCAAGGCCAGCTTTCCTTTTAACAATCAGTGAAACGGAGCCTCCACAATACGTGGCTACTCCCCTGTCAGTTCTTCATATTTTGGTAGCTGCATGCTTGTTGCATCACACTTTTTTGGCAGCTTGATGGCAGCATGCATTAAAAGAAAATATTGCCAGCTGGGGGCAGGGAAAGCTTCCATTCATGACTTGCAGGAAATAACTTCTGCTTTTGAGATGGTTGCATACTTCCAAGATGAACTTTGTTAACTGAGATTGTTACCTTCGGCACTTCATTAATCTTTGTTATCAAAGGCTCCTCTAAGTACACAGGTCCTAAGAGTATGAAACAAGTTTCCTCCAGTCAGTGAGTGGTTCTGGTGCCCTTAGTAGGAAGACACAGCTGTGCAAGACAGTGATTTCATAGCTATTGCCAGTCCTTGATAGCAAGGTACAGGGAGTCTTCATTCCTCCGATAGAACCACGGCTACTTCTCCTTAGTCTTGAATGCAGCATAGCTCTGACATTTGTTGAAATAAGCACTGTATCATTTGGAACGGTTTAATTGACTTTTAATTACCATAACGCTTTCTTCTGGTTTTGATATGGTATAAAGAAAAGGGATCAATCCATGTAGTCACCCCACTGATACCAATGATTATGGTGCTTTTTCTATTTGTATCACTCCCTTTTCAGGGCGATAGAGTTCCTTTCTAATTAGTAAACTTCTGACTAAATACCAAATCAAGACTAATCTTCTACAAACTAGATTATGAATTCCACTCCTTTCTTGTTTGCTTTTTGGTTTTGTAGGGTTTTTTTGTTTGGTTGGTTGTTTTTTTTTCTTCTGGCTGGCCTTATGTGGCATGATCTGCTTTTGCACATTCCTAGGGAACAGTGAGTTTAAATAAGGACTAAAAAGGAAATGCGTGAGCCAAGTATAAATACTTGGTTTGCTTAAAATCTTCAGCTGGATTAAGCTAAATCTTTCTCAATGAATTCAATGTAGCTTTTGAGTGCAAATTAACTCTTTTTTTTTTTTCTGCCTAATTATTTTCTGGTTTTGAGGGTTCAAGATACTAATATAATTCGTAACTTTTTTCCTCATCCAGCTCTTTGTTATATTGTTTTTTTGGCTAAGTGGGAAGAACTAGGGTTGCTCCAGGCCTACTTACTTATTTTTACTAAATGATTTGGTATTGTTTTCATTTAAAAAAAAAAACAAACAAGCCTGTGCAATAAAAACTGAAACTCTGGCAGTCTGTGCTCTGTTTTAAAAGCTTAACTGGAAAGAATTAATTAGGTTTGTGTAGTATAGCGAAACAGTGATGAATCATAGAATCATAGAATCATAGAATCATAGAATGAATCATAGAATGAATAAAGTAGCCTGTTTGAGAAGGCTTTCCTGAGATAGAGCAAAGATCTGAATCTAGATCTCTCTGCCTTGTATAAGTGATTTACATTTGATTCACCTATGTCTGTGTAAGTGCTCTAATGTCCAGAATACCAAAGTTCTTGATAAATTTTATGTCAAACTTGGAGTTTGTATCAAGAAAAAGTCGGAATAGGAGAAATGTCTGACATATGTAGGAATGGTGAAATCATTTCCCTCCCAGTTAACTCTAGAAAGATTCAGAAAAAAATCATTCGGACCAGAACAAAAGGCAAAACAATGTAAATATGGCCAGAGAGTGAAAGGAAAGAATATCAATGCAAATATTTGGGTGTAATCATCAGCAGAATCACAGAATTAAGACTTTTAAAATAGTTATGTGGGGAATTGATGACACATGACCTAGGTCTAAGTTCCTGTTGGATTTAAAGCAGAATACGACTAGGAATAGTCTTCCAGGGGACGAAATGTCATTTTTCAATTTCTGGAAGACAAGTTACCAGGGACTGAAAAAAGATGTTGTAGAAACAACTACTCACTGGTAGAGAGTCTTCTTCCACAGCTAATGTTTGACCGTGCAGTAGATGAAGTACAGAGACAGCAGTGCTGGAATCACTATTAATACCCTTTCTCCTCTACAGTGTTTCGATGCTATTTTTGCGGACAGACTGTGGTGCGAGATGAGGCAGTCGGGCACCTTTTTATTTTATCGAGAACGTGCTATCAGGAGTAAATTGGACACTAACTTTTTCTTACTCTTCCATCTTTCTCTCTGTCTTTATTGCACCAAACTCATTGTTTCAGTAAAGTGCAAAGGATGTATCTGGTAGTCTGTTTGCAGACCTAGTGGGAAAGAAATTTTCTGTCTGATTTTCTTAAGTGTTAGGAGTCCAAAGCTTGCCTTTCACTTCAAAGCACCTTATAGCACTTTTGTGCAATAAAATCTAATCCTTCAAACAATCTGGATTGACTGTTGAAGAGACTGGGAAGCCTCCTCAGAGTGCTTTCAGAATCAAAACCTTAACATTTTGCACATGGAAACATCAGAAAGTATTGCTGTATTCACTGAACATGAAACAAATGAGATTTCCTTTTCTTTCTAGGAATTCTTGTTTCAAGGACTTAATTCACAATGGCTTGTGAAGACTCTCACACCATCTGGAGAGTTATAACGCTCATTTAAGTATGATTTTTTTCTCTGCTGAATGCTAAATTTCATTAAATCTACTTCACAAATGCTTGCACAGGTATTTTGTCACTCTTAATGTGGTTCCGTGGGAAGAAATCAGTCAGAATAACTACCTCTCCCAGCTCTTGGATCACTGTGTGAGATGGCCCATCTCAAGAAACAGAAAAAAAGACCCACAAATTCCATAAACTGTACTGACAGTGTGCTTTTATTTTAAAAGTGTGCGTAATTTTAAAAGGTTATTGATATAACTGAAAGAAATTGAAAGAACAATATGGAACTTTACTGGGGGGGAAAAAAGTGTCTATATTCAGGTGTTACAATCTGGATGTTTTTTTGCTGAACTATGTGAGTGTTGTTCTTGAGATAATGCAGTGCCATCTCAAGATATGAAGAATTTGGTGGGTTTTTCTCCCCTTCAAACCTGACTGACTTATTAATTTGGGTAATTAAGATAGTAATGCCAGCAGATACCAGTGTTTTGATACCCATCTATGAAGATACGTATTTTCTTGTATGTTTCCATACATACTGGAAGTGTGTTCAACTTCTAAGAGTTTTATTAAAACTGCACAGTTTCTACTTAGAATTCTTTAATATGAGTGAGTACTGTTTGGTGATAATTACTCGCACTTAAACTAGCTCAGAATTTCTGCACTTCATGTCATAACATTTGTCTATGTTCTATATTCGCACACATTAAATCCAAGAGAAAATGTAAAATTCTCTCTTATAAATCATCTGGCAAATCTATACTTCTGTATTTGGAAAGAGAGAAGTAATTCCTGTTTAATTCATTAAATTATCCATTTTCTCCATGGATTCATCTTTCTTGCCGTCTTCATAAAAAAATTTTACAAATGGTCTCCAGTTTATTTTTGAAAGCAAAGGCATGTTGTTTATAATGGTTTAAACATACATCTTGTATGTGTGTTCCTTCATATGGATTTTGTTTGTGATAACCTGACTACTAAACAGTAACATTCACATCTGAGTAATGATTAAAGACAATATAAGCCATATGAATGCTCCTAACTGCCTTTTAAAAGCTGTTGATAGAAGCTGTAGATATGATTCTATGTTGGTATGATTCTATGTAGATACGATTATTTTTAGGAACAGGTAAAACAACTGTAAAAGGTATTTTGATTAATAATGTGAAAAAAAAAAAGTAGTAAAATATAAATATATACCTGTAACATAAACTCTAGGATTATCTACCATAAGAGTAACGGTATTTTTCAGTACAGGTGACTTGATTTTAATTTGTAGGTGCTGATTCTTCATTGTTTATTTGGGGGACAGCCACAGAAATAATTTCAGCAATCACCAGTGTTAATGGGACTACTTGCAAGTAGTGAAGCCTGTAGGATCAAACAGAACAATATTAACCATTTCCACATTATGCATTTATTAAAAGGCACATAGTACACTTTTCCCAGAGGAGACAGGATGATCATATCATCATCCCAAAGGGTGAGAAACTGATTTGGTTTTTTGAATTGTATTGATTTTTTGGAAGATGACCTCAAAAAAGTTTGAGAAATGTCATCTTAATCTATAAAACTAATGCCCTGTAATTTAAAAGATGAGAAAGAGAGATTAGATGAACATAAAGTAGATAAAACTGAGTTGTTTTTGGGAGTGGATATACTGTGCAGAGGCCCATGTCCTAAAATAAAATTCCATAGTTGCAATAATGATAGCTTTTCCATATAAGATCATATGAAGTCAGTAAGGAGGGGCTCCCCTGCATCATAAAAGTGCAAGATTCTTAAGCAATTTGGACTTTAAAATTCTTAAGTAGAGAGGATTAAGGGAATATGAGATTATAAGTATCAAGATGTAGTAAACTTACGTGGTATAGAGTACTCTGATAAAGTAATAGCCTTTATTATTAGGATCAGCCTTTGTGTAGAAAATGTTAGGAAAACGAGAACCTTGTTTTTCTGCAGGCAAATTGTCAAAGGGATCATCAGGTCATGGGTGGGACCAAAGGAACTTTTGTCATTGGTGATGGGATATAGCCTTCAAGTGACTTCTCACAGCAATTAATTGCAACATAATTACTGATGATTAAAAAAAAGCAATTCATTCAAGTGGGTATATTCAGAGAGCAATGCCACTGTATTGGCAACTCCCCCACATCTGACCTAATTCAAAGTCACAAACTGAAGGACTGAAAAAAATGAAACAATTCATTGAATTTGCTGGTTTGCAAATAATACCTTTCAGTTTAACAAAACACCTGCTTGTTGGCGATGTCTTTAGTAATAGCCCAAGAGGACTTGATCAGTGGGTGTTGGTTGGGAATTGTATGTATTGCTCCAATAGTATGTTCTAAAACCCTTCAGACTGTCGCTGGATAGGAAACTGTTTCATTCTTAAGTAAAGATAGATAATGAGCTCAGAGTAATTACAGTTCTTCTGGTTGCAAACGCTCTTAATCTGTAACACACCTTAATTTTTTCAAAACCCAGGAAGTGCTATTGAATGTGCCCAAACTGAAATGTGTTACACGTTTTGTGATAGTATCTATTTCCTTATAATGTGAGTTACTCGTAGTAGGGAGATTTTCTTCTTGTTGCTTTATTACAGTACTTTGATTGGAAAGAAACATACACCAAAAATCTATTTATCATTTGTTTGCATTTATGACACTTATTTGCAACTGGGAACAATGCTATACTTAATTTGTATACATTTTAAATTGCCTTTTATCACAATATTTTTACGTAGACAAACCTGAAAATACAGTTTGTGGTTTTCTATGAAATAAAAGCATGCTGAACTTGTTCTCAGCTACTCTAAATTCTAAATTTCTATCTAAAATTATCTTTTCTGTATCACAAAGAATCCAATAGTATTTTACAATGTATTCATGCTTTTCCTCAGCAGTATTCTAAGTTCTAGCCATTGGTTATGGAATTGTTTCCAACTGATTTTGGTTACTCATGGCAATGGAAACTATCACCATTAATCAGTAGAAGGTATTTTACTTGAGCACAACTGGTTTACAGCATTTGTAGAAGAAAGAATTCAGTGCCTCTGGTATCCTCCCTCCTTACAGCTGAGTTTTTTTTATTTTATCCCCCTCCTTTCCTCTGAGACCAACTAATCCCATTGGTATCTGTATAGGCTGAGGAGTATTACAGCCATATGGCTGCCAGGATCAGATATACTTTAGCAGCTCTGTTACTCGTTTGCTTTTGTATATTTACTTAATCTGACTTTGATATTAGCAGATCTTAAATGATACAATGGAATGCATATAAAGTAAGTCTATATGGAATATTTAACTACTTAATTTGCATTAGGTCCTCTTTCCACGTCTTTGTGATTTCACTACAAATAGCGTTGCAACAAGGAATACAAGTTATTTTATAGATGCAGACTGAAGTGCCTGTAAAGAAGTGTCATCTTTTAATAAAAGGAGCAGGGGGGGAGTTTAATGTATCTTGCACTCTCAGTGATCTTCCCTCTGATCCACTGAACCTTCACATTAATTTCCAGCAGAGGGAGTGTGTGAAATAAAGATGAATGAATCACACATAGCTGTTGTGGTGTTAATATACACAGTTATCTGAACACGTGGAGAGATATTGCACGGTGAGTTTTACGTTTTGAACACTTTCCACACAGAAGAAAAATAGCTTGATTAAGATGGATAAAGTTTTCATGTGACTTGAGCTGGATTGACTATGTCAAAACATATACCCTTATTTCATTACAAGGATCAGAATTTTTATTAATAAACTTTGAAAAAACAAAGTTTTCTTATAATTAAAAATTGTGTATAAGACATGGCCTGAAATGATATTTCCATCCACTGGATTTTTTTTTTTTACCTGCCTCCCAAATATATTGCAATTCAATTTTCTCACATTTGACTTTTATTAAAATCCATTAAGAAGTTCAATTATTTGTTTCAGGAGATGCAAAAGTCCAAGCTTAGAGTTTCCTAGCTTGTGCTTTTCATTTACACTGCATTTCCATTGCTTTTATTTCCTGAGGTGGGAGAAGAACAAACATTTTTTTTTATCTCGAATGCAGCCTACACCCAAAGTAATTATATCGAGTACACAAAGCAGAAAACTTCTATGTTGTCAGAGCTGCAGTGCAACCTAGCAGGTGAACAATGTGCTTCCCAGATTTCTTTGTACCACAGTATGTCTTTCCTGCACACAGTCATGTTTTATGAAATTACTGTTGCCAGAATAGCATACTCATTTTATAAACAATGCTACTTAACAGAAATAAAACCTATAATTGAATTTCTTTTTTGACCCACAGTGGCTGCTCTAGCAGTAATGTTGAAATGACTTCTCATTCCAAGATCAAGTGTGCCAGTTTTCATTTCTGCTCCCCTTACCACTGCCGTAAGACTCAAGCGAGCTCCGCAGCATTTTTCATTCTAACATTTTTACCTTGGACTGCGAGGCAACAAAGTGTGGCATTTCTTCCTTCTTTTTTTCAGGCAACACCCGTGTTTTCTATGTAAAACTGCTGTCTTCAGGCTCACTGACTTTACACCAGAAGACCCTCTGTAGAGACAAAGATGCTGTGTATGTGTTTGAGAGAAATTTATTGAAATAGACGCTAAAGTGAGAAAGCATTCCCTTGACACTATTTTTGTCAATTCCTCTGGTCAGTTTCTCCAGCCTTCCTTTCTTGCTGCTTGGATGGAAACTAAGCTTCAAATACGCTATTTGAATATCCAAATGTCCAACTATTCACAGCGGCAAGCAACTGCAGGCTGAGCCTTTGGCTCTGACACTGCTGTAAGGGCCTTGGCCGATTTTTAATTTGGGCCTGACTTAATTTCAGCAGACGGACCTACTGACAGCAGTGACACACTGCCATTACCCTGCCAAACCCCGACGGTTTGTAACTCGCTTAAGAAAAAAACCAAACCCAACACCTGGAGATGGCCGGTGGCCACCTCAAACCACTAAGGTGAAAGAAAACCCTAGGGAGAAAGTTCGGGGGGTGAAACAGCTCTTTTGCTGTTGCCGGCCTGCCCTCTCCTCCTCAGGCACCCGGCCCGAGGCGGGGGCCTGGCCTGGCCTGGCCTACCCCGCCCGCTCCCCGGGCAGCGCCGCCGCCTCTGCCTCGCCTTTGGCCCCGCGGCTGCGGGCGGGCCCTGCGCCGCAGGTGGCTGCCGGGCCCGCCGGGCTGGGCCGGGCGCAGGAGGAGGAGGAGTGAGGAAGGGCTGAGGCGCAGGTGGCTGCAGGTCAAGCGGCTCCGGCGCGGCGCGCTCGGATGGGCCGGTGCCGCCTTGACTCACTCCCCGCCGCCTCCCGGGCGCTGCCAGCCGCGGGCGCCGCTCTCCAGCCGCCTGCGGGCTGCCGGTGTCCCGGCCGGCGGCGGAGGGCTGCCGCCTACCTCCTCGCACGGGTCCCAGGTGAGTGAAGGCAGCGCGGAGCCCCGCCGCCGGCTGTGTGTAAGTCTTAACGGAGCAGGGGGAGCCCTCCGGGAGGCGAGGGAACCCGCCGGGAAGCGGCAGCAAGGTGCCCAAAGATGGACGCTGCGGGGGGCGGCCTCCATCCCCGGGCAGGCCCTTTGCTGCGGGCTTGGCCGAGGAGGGGGGGCCCCTTCAGCCCGCCCGCGGGGCTCCCCCGCTGCCCCCCGCCCCCCGCCTCAGGCCGCCCGCCGGCATCTCGCCGCCCGCCTCAGCCCGTGGGGGCGGAGGGGCGAGGGCAGCCCCCGCACGGCGGCTCCCTCTGGGCGAGCGCCGGGCTGAGGTGGAGCCGCGGCGGCCGCCGGGGGCGGGCGGGGAGGCTGGGCCGCCACCGCCGTGCCCGCCCGTCGGGGCAGC